GGGACCCCACTCTGCACTTAAACGATTAAAGGTAGTGATAACAATGTCATAGTCCCAAGCCAGACTGTGAACAGGAGGTTTTCTATGATCAGTCCATACATAAAGCTGCAACTGACCGGGCCTTACATGTTTATTTATTTGTGTTTTCCAATGATCAATTAGATTAGATGGAACAACAACTAATGTTGCTCTTGACAAATATAACCTCACAGAATCTAATGGCTCACAAAGAGCAATTCTGAGAGCAGCCAAATCAAATGCCAAGTTCTCAAGAGTCCGTGGATAATACCACCTACTAATTCCCTTTTCTACCCTCTTTATAAGACCAAATGCTTGAAATATCTTATGAAATCCAAATGCATCTCCAGCAACACCAGTGCCTAATATCGGACTTGACAAACCAATTGTTTCCATTTCAGAAAGCCTATCGGTAGAAAGTTTAGCTAACCAAAGTAAGGCTTTCTTTGTTTTAGAATTTATCACAGCATAGTGCTCCTTGAGAACACTGATGAAAAATGACACATTTTCAGCTGTTCCCCCAGCTGTTCCTTTGGTGAAAAATCCTAGCAAGTATGTTATAGACTGATGATGATCCCATGCTTCTTCTGGATCAGTACAGCTATGATGTGCAGGGTCAGTGTTCATGCTACAAAACCACGCAACCTTAGCATCAGCCATACTTGAGCCTGCAATTTTCCTCCACTTGCGACAGGCATCACACTGAACCCAAGTTTCATTACACATATTTCGACCAGCAGTACCCTTCCCAGGTCTCAAACAACTATCTAACACTGCATCTTGCTTTCCCCAATAGATGTGTCGTGATCTATTCCTTATAGGTTCATTCTTCGCAACTGCTTTTCCTTTACAAGAACCAGACAGTCCATCATATGCATAAAGAAGATTTTTCCTGATGTGACCCAAATTCCTTGAGGATCGAACTGCCCAGGTTACTGGCTCAGAGTATGAAGCTGATTGTGATTTTATTCTTCTATTAGAACAAGAATCATTAAATTCAGCACTTCTCTCCACTGGATCCATCAGCCTGGCCCTTTTAGGCAAAGGATGGTTTATATCCTCTATGAGACAAAACTTTCCTAAAGATGATTGTCCCCTGAGAACATTCTGACTTGTAGTCCTTTTCGCCAAAGACATATTATTGCAAGTGAATTTATCACCTCTAAGCTCATAATAACCGCATTTATCATTACCATTGTGCATGCACCAGATTATTTGAACACCCTCTGGTGGATCAGCCATTGTTCCTTGCGTTTTCAGAATAAGTGATAGAGCAGTTATAGTCTTTCCCAAGCCAGGTTCATCACAGAACATCCCTCCACGAAAATCTCTAATAGTGGGAGCTGTGCCAGTAACTATACTGCCAGAAACACTATTAACATAGAAAGAAAACCCATCTTCTGTTGAAAATTCCATGTACAAAGGATGACGTAAAACCTCAGCATTCCGTTCACGTCTTAACATCCATTCAACTGCAGCCTGCTGATGAGGGAAAAGTTTAAGTTTCATGCATGGCATTATCAATGCAGCCAAAGACCTTAGATGGCGACAGGTCACTGCTACCCTGTTAAGATCCATTGGGCCAAGTGCAGCTAGAATATTAATCAGGATATCATCAGATATGTCCCAAATGCCAGAAGTACAAGTGTCATCAGCTGGTTGTACTCTAGAAGAATAAGCCATTCCCTTGTTTGTGACACTAGGCAAGTTCTTGAAAATGTCATGAAGCTCAAATAGCCTTTTATTCAAAGGGTCAACACCATTACAATGCAACTTGCATCCTAGAACATGACAGTCAGAAACACTCCAGATGCTCCTTACATTTCCATGACCATCGTTACCAATCTCTATACCATTATTGAGCATAAAAATTCTCTCCTTCCAATCACAGCTGAAAAAGTAAAACTGCTTTAGAGGGGAAAAAAGAGACAAATTGGTGCAAATTTAAGGGCAAAATAACTCATTTAACTGATGAAATATACAACTAACTGGGTTACTAGCACAATGCATCCACAATTAAAACTTTTAGTTTCTTCATGCATAAAACTGAAACTAGTTTGTTGAGGAAGCAATGCAAAAGGATTAAAAAAAAAAAACCTGTTCTACCCAGAAGGAAACTACCCGTTTAGCTATGTTATTTGCAGTGCTTATAGCATAAAATACAAAATAAAAAGGTTTCCCATTCAAGATTTCTACAATTAATAATTTAAATATAAACAATGTGACCTTCCGCAATCTAAATATCCGTCAGGTTATATCCACTCCTCTTCAGCACAGATTGCTCTAAGAGGAACATTGCAGTTAGCCAATAGAATAGATGTGAGAGAGAGCACTTACAATTCAATGGTGCACAAATGAAACTCACAATCAAGAATAAAGGTGACAAAAAAATCCCAATTCCTAAACAATAAAATTCAAGCAAGCTAACACAATATCATCTCGTTAAGGAGTTTTTATCAATGAACTTTTACTTCTAAAACTGAATCCACTGTTCGGGCATTTTAATGTTCAAAGGGCAAAATTTACTTTTCCCTCCATAGTATAAGTCAGCTGATAAGTGGGGGTATTTTATCATTTCAGCCAAGCAGACATGTTGACTTGAAATCCCGAGGTCTAGGTGGCTTACCTACTAGCACGAGAGTGCTGACTTGTCATACCCTAAGTAAACCGTCAACTGCCAACTGAGTTCGGGCATACGAGGCCAGCCTTAATCCCTATCCTGGGCCATTTAGGTACAGAATCCCCATCACACATGTGTAAGTAGCCCCATCCAGGTACTTCTAAATTGACTGAAAACTCTTAATTTTAAATGCAAACATTTCACTTTATTCTTCTTCCTACTTCTTAACCGAACACTGACTTGAATATTAAAGCACAAACGCGAAAAAAGAAACTCCCCGCCTTTGTCATTGACCTATCTCTCTTCCTTATGTTTTTGGGGTTTTATCCCTTGCGGACAGCTTGGCACCAATATCTACCCCATCACTTTACCTCACTGACAAGACTCTAGCATCCTAACTTCCGTAAACTCAGTGCGAAGAAACAAGTAGGTTCCTTATAATTTCACAACTTTTCCACAATAAATTAATCAAATTGGTCTTTGAAAATTGCAAAAAAGAATTACCTTAAGTGGGTAAAAAAGGAACCAGCAACAGAACCGGATCGAGGAAACTGCCAACCGGACCACAACTCAACCGGCAAATAAACATCCACCAGCACGACCGCCCTAACCTCCTTCTCTCTCTCCTCCACTCTCATAACCCGAGCGTGGATCTTCAAGCACTTATGAGCCACCAATGCATGAATTTGATGAACCACACTTATGCTCCCATTCACCATCCCTATCTTCCTCCTCCCTTTCTTATTCGACTTCCCCGCATTATCGTGAGCGTTTCGAATTCCACAAAGAACGACGCCGTTTTGGCATCGGAAGCAAATGCCGTTGTCGTCGTCGGTGTTGAGGTGGCAAGGAGCTGAGAAGGGGATGGCTGCAGCAATGGATTTAGGGGGAACCATGAGAACCGTACAAAGGTAACCGCAGAGTATGTGATCTGGTACGGTTTCGTCCATCGGATAACTTCATGAAAAATTTTCAAATTTTTTGTACAGTTCGTCTGTTTCTTCTCCTACTGGAAGAAGAAAACGATCGACGACGAAGAAAGAACGAACTTTTGAAGTCGGTTTTTTGGGGAAGGGAAGGTAGTTTAGATTGGATGAGGTGTGGGCTCCACGATTTTTAGGGTTTTGTTACAGTGTTTATTGTGTACGGCTTTAGGTTGTTATTGGTTGTTTTTATCACCGTTGTCCATTGGGTGATGAAATCGGGGTTCTAGCTTTTAATTATTTTTAGTTTTTGGCTGTTTGTGTTTTGATGGTTTTTTTTCCTTTCCAGTGTGAGCCCATGGATTGGATTGGATTGGATTAAGTTTGCCGGGTTTCATAGATCCAACGGCTACAACGGTCAAACTAAAAGAAACAGGTGATCTTAAAACCAGGGGATCTGGACGTTGGAAATAAAATCTTGGATAAAATCCATTGGCTTAATTAAACAAAAATATTACTTTTAAAAGATAAATAAAAGTAAAGTTCAAAAAGAAAAAAAAAAAACGCTAGATAAAATATTTTATTATTGTACCACCAAATTAAAATGTATTTTATATATTTTAAATTCAAAATTAACATATTAAATTTAAAATAAAAAATTGAGATAATTTTATTGGATTTAATCAAAAGTGAACTAAAACATGAATTTTAATTATTTTTTATTTAATATATTAGATTTTGCTCAATACATCCCTTCTAACTTTTATATATTGTCTCAAAATATTATTTTCATAGAGAGATTGATTTTAATTAATAATAAATCTTATCAAATACATAATAATTTCAAGTAATTAAAAGATTTGGTAAAATATATGTACATTATTAATTAATTATTTGATATTAAAATAATTATAATTATATTAAATATAATAATAAAAATTATGAAAATAATGTCTCAAAATAAGATTGATAATCAAATCTAAATTTATTGAATTTCAATTAAACCTGATCTTATAAGGTTATTTTTTTTTTTCAAAAATAAAGTATTGATTTTATATATAAAATTGTCTCGTTTGATTTTATTTTATATATATAATATTTTTTATTATTTATTTAATTTTAATTTATATATTTTATATTTATTTAATTTTATAATTATATTAAAATTTAATATTTTATTACTTTTAGATCAAATGAGTTTAATCATAATTTTATATATAAATAATTCAAATTAAATATAAAAATAATATTTTAATATCAAATCGAATCAAATTAAAATATTTATGATATTAAATTATATTAAATTTAATTCTTATAAATCAGATCAAATTCGAAACGAACAAAAACTCACTTAATCCAACTAATTGCCATTTCTGATTAGAAGGGCTTAATATATATATTAATATATATATATGTATGTATGTATGTATGTATGTATGTATAAACCTACAAAATACTTTGAAAAAAATTCGGCTGAACTCAAACGTAAAAAAACAAAACCAACGAAGAACAAGGAAGACGTAATACCACCGACATGGCAAGAGACAGTTGCTTGGCTCGCGTCACCACCGGGGTCGCCGTCGGAGGAGCTGTTGGCGGCGCCGTTGGTAAGTTCCTATTCTTCAACTACTCACTAAAACCCTAAACCTCATTGCTCTATTTTAGTTACTGAAAATTAGGAAAAAAATTAAATTTCTTTCAATTACAATCGTTTCGAAATACTGCCAAAATCATGAAATTATCTGTGCTGGTTTAGTTTAGTGATTCATCAACTGAAATATGTTTAAATTTTCTAAACTCTAGGATTTTTGAACAAATAATAAGTGTTTTCATAGCACTTTCTTTTTCTCTTTTTTTATTACGAATTATTCTGATTTTAGTTTCATGGTCTTAATTTGGAACCAATGTGAAAAATTGCTTCTTTTCTTAACTTTTTTTTATTATTTTTGTTGACCAAACAAAAAAAAAAAGGTCGTACTACTATTTTCGTTAGCTAAATACTTGTTTTGAGCTTCTTTTTTTTTTTGTCATTATTGATTTTTTGTTTTGTTTTATGGTTCCAATGAGTTTAGTGGAACCAGCATATATGCTTTGCTAATTATTGAGAACATTGAAAAGCAATAGTCCTGTTGAATATTGTGTTTATATTATCACGAAATTGTCTTGTTTGATGGTTTGTTTCAATTTGTAAGTGAAATTGTCTGGTACAGAGATAGTGGTGATATGTGAGAAACATAGTGCGAGTAAATTGAAGAGAAATTATTAAAAGACAAAAGTATTGTGAATTTATAATTTACGGATTTAGAACAGTGCCATTGTTACTTATTTTTTGCACTTTGGCTACTGCTAAACATAGAGAAGTAGCCCTCTCCCATTCCATTTATCCCAAACCATCCTTCCTAAGAGTTTCAAACCTGAGACCTCTAGGTTGGAAGTTCAAGTTCTAATCATTGGGGACATAGTGCCAGAGTTTAATGCATATGTGCATAATGTACAACTATTGAGAAACATGCAGCACTACTACTTTTTAGTATGTAAAGAAAGAGGCACTATTCAAGGATAATGTGCTCTGAATGTTCAGAGAGGTTAGAAGGATGAGGATGGATGAATTAGGAGGGGAGTTAGATAACTGTAGGGTGTCTTCTATTACTATTAGTATCTTGTAGAAACTTGCCATCTTTGTTACTTTGAAGTATTCCTTTCCTGGATCCATTATTTTTTACATGATTCGTTATAATGATTTAGTGTATCGTGTTATGTTACAATAACTTGTTTTTAATCTTTTATTCTGGAACCGTAAATAAGTTGCATTTATTTGATTGTGCTTGTGCAGGTTCTGTATATGGGACTTACGAGGCCATTAGGTATAAGGTAATGTCCAATATTTTACTCTTCTTTCAACAGATGAAATTATGTTGATTCTGTATTGGCATTTTTATTCATGTAGGTAACTTACTACCCCAATCACTAGCAGTAATGAAACTTCCATCAATATATGATCCATATTTCTATAACCCTTACAAAGCGATAGCTGTGTCTTGCTGTTTTTCCTAGTTCCTTGATGACAGAAGTGATTAGAATTAGGTATCTGGCCATGTAATGACTTAAAATGGGTTTCTCAACAGTTTTGAAGCCCATTGCATTTTGCATTGCTGTTTTGCTTTCAAATCTCATTCATTTGTGCTTCACGTGAATCAAGGGCAGTTAACTAATTTAGATTCTAGAATTAGATTATGTTATCTTCAAATGACATCTCAGTGATAATTGCGGGTTCTTTTGCTCTTTTTTTTATTCTAGTTGAATTTGTGCCTGACTCTGAACAAAATTTTGTGTGTTCTTATCTACTTTGTGAACTTATTGTCATGTGATACATAATTCTAGAATCCAATTAATTTGGTTGCACATTTTATTTCTTGGGAAGCATCTCTGCATTAGCTGCTGTGTTTTCTGTATAAAGTTGTTGAGGGGATGGTCTATGAAATTTCACTTGAGCTTTGGCAGGGTGATTCTGGTATGGGCCTTGATGATTGGATTCGTCATTGTTTTGAATTATTGAACATCTTCCCTTCTTATTTCAGGTTTTACCTCACACAATAAATGTGGTTTGAGTTAGGGTTTCAATTGATGTGGGAACAAACAACTTCTTTAGTTATTCTTGGATTTTTGGTTTTCAGATTTTTACGTCTTGTATGATGTAGACCTTGAGATGCATTTTGTGCGAAAAAAGCGGTTTCATACATATAGAAAGAATGAAAAGGGGAGTAAGGCCTGGAAGTTATATTTTCAACCCCAAAAGATCAGCTCTTCTGTAACATAATAAAGGCACAATTTGGATTGCTTTGATGGCATTGGTGGGTTTAATTAGTACTCGATCATTAAGTTAAATGCTGAAAGACGGATAGGTTTAGGGTGGTATTGTCCATTTTTTTATGTATGTATTCATGCATTTGCAATCTATTCTTGCATATCAAGATCTCATATTTTGGCATTGTACAGGTCCCTGGACTTCTGAAGATTCGATATATCGGGCAAACCACTCTCAGTAGCGCAGCAATTTTCGGTCTTTTTCTGGGTGCTGGTAGTTTGATTCATTGTGGAAAGTCATACTAAACCATTCTTTGGTTGTTGAGATTGTATTTTCAGGAAGCTGCTAGCTTAGATAAAAGGTGTATAACGTTTATAAGCCTTTGGCTTTGTTTTTGAGTTTCTCTCTTGCCTTGGGGTGAGTGAAAATTTGAAAATATGACTTCAATTTGGCATAAAATTTTTTGCTTTCCTTCTCTGTTTCTCTAGTGAAAGCAAAACATTACAGAACATGCTCTATTCTGCTTTTTGTTTTTCTTTAATTCTTAATGTACTATTAAGGTCATGTTTGGTGTATAAGATAATGAAGAGAATAAGATAATAATCATTTTATATTATATTTGATTTATATCTAAATAAAAAGGATATGATTATAATGAAAATTATCATCGGTATAAAATAATTTCATTCTCTTAAAGTAAAGAGAACTATTTTTAATGTATAGTATTGAGTTTACATATCTTATTATATTTTTAAAAGCTATATTAATAATTTAAATTTTATAAATTTGAAAAAGATAATTTTGATTAATAAATTATTTTATTTTAATTTTTTTACATATTAAATACAAGATAAGATAATATTATTTTATTTAATTATATTATAATATTATTTTTATTTTATTATAATTTTATATATTAAATATGACTTAAATTTTTATTTACTCGACTTTGAGAATGTTAGTGTCTAAATCTTCTCAAATTTATAAAATTTTTTTTTTTTGTATAAAAGAGATTATAGATTAAATTTATAATTTAAAATACGATATGATAATATGATATAAATATAATATAAAAATAAAATATTAAAATCATGTTTGATGTATAAATAATAAATAAAATAATATAATTTTATATTATATTTAATTTATAGATAAGGATGGAACCACATTAGGGGCATTAGGGGTAATTGTCCCCACTGAAATCTTTATCCTTTCAAAATTATATTATAAAAATATTTAAAAATTTTAATTCATTCCACTAAAAAAAAAATTTATATATATAATTTATATAAATGTTAAACTTCATTAATTGGAAGTGATAGTTTGATAGAAAATGTCAATATAAAAAAAAAAAAAAGTAGAATTGTATTAAATAAAAAGTAACCTGTTTTCATTTTCGTCCATCTTCCCAAATACCGCACTTTTGCAACTTTCAGGTTTTTCAAATGCAAACAGGGTGAACCAGAAGAAGAAAATTAAAGAAGTAAAAAAGAAAAAAAAAGCTTTTAAACTAAGAAACAAATTACGAGTTAGTTATCTTCTTCTTCTAACAAGATATTCAAGTAAGTTATTTTTTTATATAATTTTATAATTAGTCAATCAATTTTTTTATATATTTTTATATATAGTGTTTATATACTATTTGAAATTTGTTATACTGATGAAATAAGTATTCATGTTATCGATAGTATTTATATTCTTTTATCATATTTGAATTTTTTATGTTATATATATTTTTTTATTTTTTTAGTTATTACTCATTAGGTAATAACTTTAAGTTTAGTAAAAATTAATTTTTATATGAAAATTATAAAATTAATTAGAAGTTATATCCAATTTCTTACATAGCAATATGATTACAATATGTAAATTACATTTCTATTCATATATTTTAAATATAGGATCAGTTGAGCTTCATTAACATATGTAATTGTATTTTGAATATATATTCTTATTTTTTATAAATTTCATAAATTAAACTATTTAATTTAATTAGTTATTGAAAAATATCTTATTTAAAAAAAGTTAATTTTTAAAAAATCATCTGAAATCAATACTAGTGGCATACAACATTGTATAAAGCAAGTTTGTGTTAAATTAAATTTAGACAATCTTTCTTTGGATCTTGGGTTACGAAAAAAAAATTTGGACTATAATGCTAATGATAGAACAAAGTTCGAAGAGCTTATTTGCAAAAAGGTACATGTCAACCTTATGAATATAATTTTTTCCAAAGTAAAATTAGAAAGGCATTACGTCAGTTTGTTTATATGTGGTTCAAAAATTATGCTAATTGGTTGAAATACAGTATAAAGAAGGATGCTGCTTTTTGTTTATGTTGTTATCTTTATAAAATAGAATTGGAGAGCAAGCAGGTGGTAATTGTTTTGTTTCAAATGGATTCACAAATTGGAAAAAAGAAAGAAAGATTTGATATTCATGTTAGAGGTCCTAATAGTGCTTATAACAAAGCTTGGAAGTGTTGTCAAGATTTGCTAAATCAAAAACAACATATTCAATTTATTTTTGCAAAACAATCTGATCAAGAACGAAAAGATTATCGAACTTGATTGTATTCGCTTAATTGTGATACTTGATTGTATTCGCTTTCTTATATGTCAAGATTTGGTATTTTGTGGTAAAGATGAAACTGAGAATTCTCATAATGAAGGAAATTTTCTTGAGCTTTTTAGATTTTTTGTCAATCATAATGAAACCATCAATAGTGTTGTCTTGAAGATTGCACTGAGAAATTAAAAAAATAATAACACATGATATTCAAAAAGATTTTGTTCGTGCTGCAGCATTTGAGACTACAATGCTATCATAGAAGATCTTAGAGATGAATTATTTTTCATTTTACTTGATGAATCTTGTAATATTTTAATCAAAGAATAAGCTGCTATTGCTTTGCACTATGTGAATTCTAAAGGGCATGTTATTGAATGTTTTTTGGGTTTAATACATGTTAGTGATAAAATTGCTCTGTCACTTAAAGCAGCTATTAAAGCATTATTCTCTAAGCATAATTTGAGTATGTCAAAGGTTCGTGGGCAAGGTTATGATGGAGCAAGCAACATGCAAGGTAAATTCAATAGATTGAAAACTTTGATCATGAAAAATAATGCATCTGCTTATTATGTTCATTGTTTTGCTCATCAACTTCAATTGACATTTGTAGCCGTGGTCAAGAATCATGTTCAAATTGCATTACTTTTCAATATTATGACAAATGTGGTGAATATTGTTAGGGATTCATGTAAACAAAAAGATGTTCTTTGAGAAAAACAACTTGATAAAGTTGTTGAGGTATTACGAGTTGGTGAACTTTCTACAAAAAGGGTTTAATCCAAGAAATAAATCTTCAACGAGTTGGGGATACACAATGGGGTTCACATTATGGGATGTTGATAAATTTGATCCTTATGTTTAGTTCCATCATTGATGTGCTTGAAATTGTTGTAGAGGATGAAAATAGCTCAGAGCAAAGAGGTGAAGCTTTTGTCTTATTAGATTTGACTCAATCTTTGGACTTTGCTTTTAACTTGCATTTGATGAAAAATATCTTGGGGATTACAAATGAATTGTCCTTGGCATTACAAAGGTGAGATCAAGATATTGTGAATGCGATGGCATTAGTATAAGTAGCGAAGCAACGACTACAAATGATGAGAAATGATGGATGAGAATCTTTGCATAAAGAGTTTTTTTTATTTTGTGAGAAAAATAACATTGGCATCCCAAATATGGATGATATGTTTGTATCTCATTAAAGACCTCGACGCAATGTTCTAACAATGACAAATTTATGTTATTATCAGGTTGAGTTATTTTATACAGTAATTGATATGCAACTTCAAGAGCTCAACAATTATTTTAATGAGGTGAATATGGAGTTATTTCTTTGTGTGGCTTCTTTTAAATCCTTGTGATTCTTTTTGTAGCTTTTGATAAGGAAAAGTTGATTCATCTTGCTCAATTTCATCATGTTGAATTTTTTAATGTTGAGCTGCTAGTTCTTGACAATCAACTTGAAATTTACATTATTGATTTAAGATCTCATTATGAGTTTACAAATTTGAAAAGTATTAGTGACCTTTCTGTGAAACTTTTTGAGACAAAGAAACATTTTATGTGTCCATTGATATACTTACTTGTGGAATTAGCTTTGATATTACCAATTTTTATTTCATCAATTCGAGAGAACTTTTTTTGCTATGAAAATTATGAAGAACTGTTTACGCAACCGAATGAGAGATTCCTGAATGAATAATTGTTTGGTTACATATATAAAGAAAGATATATTTTGTAATATTGATAATAAAAAGATTTTACAATGCTTTCAAAATATGCAAAGTCATAAAAAATAATTATAATATGTTATTTTTATGTATACTAAAATAGTTTTTTTATGCATCTTAGTTAACTTACATATATATTCAATATTATATGTATTTTTGCCCCCACTGAATATAGATCCTAGATCTGTCTCTGAGGATAAGATTATAAGGATTATATCTTCTTGGTATAAGATAATTTAATCTTTTCAAAGTGAAAATGATTTTTTTAATTAATAAAATTAAACTTATATGTCTTATTATATCTTTAAAAATTATATCAATAGTTTAAATTGTATAAATTTTGATGAAAGATAATTTTGATCAATAAATAAATTATCATATTTTAATCATTACACACATCAAACATAAGATAAGATGACATTATTTAATCTAATCTCATTCATAATATTATCTTATTCTATCATAAGCTTATGTATAAAATATAACCTAAAGTGATACGGCTTAAAATTATAGTAATAATTATATATGAAGTTAATAAAATAAAAATATATAATTTATATTTGTGTATCAATACGAATTATAATATATAATTTTTTTATAAGATATTGTATGAATATATGAATGTTAATATCATCAGATTTATCGTAAACTAAAAAGAGAAAAGATATTATAAAAATTAGAGATTTAAATTTTAGATCTTTCAAATATTATTTGATTATTTGAACTAATTGAGTGAAGTTTCGGTTTAAATTGCATAAAGTTAAACCTGTATTTATTTGGAAGAAAAAGTGTAAAACACTGATTTGTACTCTTTTCAACCATCCACTTTACGCCAATAAAGATTTATGTAGAATCCTAATAGATTATTTTTATTCCTTTTTTTTTTTCTCTCATGCTCAGATTTGCAGTTACGCCAATAAATAACTAACCATATTATTCAACTTGGCACTCATTTCTACTCCATTTAGCTACAGTCAATGATTTTGGAGGCCAACAATGTCATGTACATTCTTGATCGTCCTATAGTTGATTGGAATGGGTGTTTCCTGTTAATTTTAAATTAAATTATTTAAAATTGAATTAATTAAATTAAATTATTTTAATTTTATTAATCAAATCAAATTTATGAATTTCAAAAATTATTTGATTGAATTTAATTTGATCAGTTTAGTTAATTTTTTCGATTAATCGAATAATAAATATATTTAAGTTAAATTATATTTTAAATTTAAATTTTTTATATTTTAAACAAATTAATAAAATTATCTAATAAAATATTAAAATATCAAAATACTATATTAAAAATT